TCTGCGTATCGCAGCATTGTTTTTTCCCAACTATTTTTAGAAGACTCCGGAATTTTATCATCGGTGCACTATCGGCGCATAACAAGTTGGTTACGAGGAAAAAACCCCGTGCTTTGCGATAAATCGATTGGTCTGCCGTTTAAACCTATGAAAAAGGATCGACGGACTGGGTGTCCGCGACGACAGCTTAATGATCGATTCTTTACCATAGTTTCAAATGGGGAACTCTCGGTAATCATTCACGCCTCGCCACCGGAGAACTTTGTAGTCAAATCGAAGCACATCATTTCGTCGTTCAACGGAAGATGTCGTTTGTTGGTAAGCCTTTTTCAATCCCGGGAAGAGAGGAACTGATCGCATTAAAGCCTAAATTCTATGTTTGGGCTCCTGGTACTTTCATATGACTAATTTTTTATGCGTGTCAATCGAGAGTACTTAATGAGTGGATAGTTGCCTTCTTTCAACACTGAGACACATCAATTATTTCAAATTACAGTTTGGCAATAGGATTTCTAGTAAAAAACATTCCAAGCAAATCACTGTTTCTCCCTCTCTATGAGTGATGTTTGTCCGTGAACATAAACAGAAAAGAAAGTTTCAAAGGCTGAATTGATTTAGGACTCTTATTTAACAGAGTCCAGTTCATTGAACTCTCGATTGTCTGCTTCTCTATCATTCATTCGCATAATTTTGTGAATACGTAACTTAAGATTCGATGAGTTCAGTATATTTGATTATCATTCTCTTTCTTTTTCAATCATGAGACTTAAATATTTTTTTGAGATTTGCAAAACTCTGAAAAATCCGGGAATTCTGCCGAGAAGCCTTTAAATTATCTCCGCTGCCCGAAAATACCGCCCCCACGAACGTAAAATAGAACTCCATCTCAAAAGTTCTCGAACTCTGAACTTTTTTCAATTTCAAGAGACTTTGCGTTAAAAAATGTTTGTGGAGTGCATTTTCATTAGAATCTATGCCCGAAAAAAACCTTGGAAAGTCAAGGAATTTCATTGATAAGAACTTTGAAAAGTTTTGGAAAACTTGAAGAATATTGAAACTTAAGAAAACGTGCCACCTTGTTCGACTAAAGTCGCCCTTCTGGAACTATTGCCCTCCCGGACTGCGGTCCCTTTCCCTACGGACGGTTACATTTCGTCGCCTTCCGGCCATAGTATCACAAGCGCCATGCGCCACCACGGAGGAATTTTCCTACGAAGCTGTCCGAAAATTTCACTGAACTTTCTTTGTGCTGCCAATAAAATTCAGCGAAACTTTCAAACAGATCCGATCAGCAATTTCTCTGTAAAAAAAAAAAAATGGCGGCGGAAAATTTTCAAACGTCGCATGGCGCTTGTGACTTTGGCCGGGGGCGACGATTGTCTATCTATCTATTATTGGTTGACGATCGATTGTGATTATGTCTCTACGAAGCGAATTTCGGACTTCTCAAAATTCCACGTGGGAACTTTGCCTGAAACCCGAGGCCGGTGGCAAATTACTGCGAAAGCGGCAATTTATCGGTCGGCGCGATGGCTCGACGATTCGTCCGCACGCGTTCCGCCGAGCGGGGGCTGGGGCCCCCTCGCGCGTGGGGGGGGGGGGGGGGGGGGNGGGGTGAGGGGGGAGTCTCACCTTTGCTCGCGCAATCGATAGATTTGCAAATGAGCCGGCCTGTCCAAATTGTCCCCGGCGACAATTGAGTCTGGATCGGGCCCGCCGCTGCGCCGCGCCGCGCTCGGGGGGCATTGACCGGGCCCCGGGGGGGCTTCGAACTTTCTCAAAAGCTCTTATCATCCGACTCGCACCTCGCTCCAAGCAAAGGTTCCTTATCGGACGCAGCGCCCATTGGCGGATCCCGCGCAATCGCTCGCTCCGCATTATCGGTCTCTTTTCCTCAACGTCCGGCAACCTTCCCCACTTCCGAGGATGCCGAATCGAGCTAAATCCAATTTTATGGCCTGGTTACACGCTCAAATTTCCGTCAAATTCCGATCAAAATGATGACCAAGATGGCGGTCGAGAGCCATCTAGATTGATGAGTAAAATTAACTAAAACAGCGTGTTGATTGAAATAAGCATGAAATAAGCACGGTTGTGTGGAAATCAGATGGAGGATGAGCCCCACAGTTTCATCATCCACCATCAAATTTTTGCAGGCCGTAGAAATTTGATGGTAGATGGTGCGCACCAGTCACCGTTTGATCGGAAATTGATGGGACTTTGAGCGTGTAAACAGCACATAAGGCCTTGAGTCCCCTAATGTGGACCGCGTTTAGCAACTACTGCCAATTAAAATTGAGGAGCTTTCCAGAAAAAAGGGCACGTAGCAAAAAATTGCGTTTGAGAGAAATGCATTTTAAGTTTTGATCATTACTCTATAGTTACTAACATTGACTTTCGCTCGAAATCGGGAGTCCAAGCTGCGATAAAAGGTACAATCGGTGACCACAAATTAATGATGGAAACTTAAAATGCATTTTTCTCAAACGCTAATTTTTGCTATGTGCTCTTTTTCCGGAAAGCTCCTGGATTGGGCAATTCAATTTGTTACGTACGATTTTCTCTGAACCCTCTGAGTTAAAGGAAAAGCGGGACTGCCTAACGCTTCCTGATTTGTAACTGACATT